TCAGATTAGGGGTATTGCCTCATCCCATTGGTCTACTTGTGTTCGTGTAAATGTATTCTGCTACGTGTGAGTTTGTTGTTCGATAGCCGATGCTGCCTAAATGTGGTTAACTTTGTCTGTGTTGTTGTCGCATTGAATAAACAAGTGCAATGCAACTCCAAAGCTGAGTTTTCCACAATTTCAGTTTTGTTGAGAAGGCTTTCACATTTTCGTAAGCTGCTGTGATCAGCTGACCAGGGCCCTGGAGCTTCAAGTTAAGGATGTTCAGCTCCTGTGTTATGTCCAGTAGGAATGCAAGGTCCAGAACCCATCTTGGATCATCAAGTTCAGGAACATCCATTCTGCCATCTTCCATGAATTTCTTCACTCTTAACTCAAAAAAATCTCTTCAAGACATTCCCTCTGCTGAGCCTGCAGCGCACCTCAGTAAAGTAAAGTACATCACCATAAGTTGACTCAATTTCTTCTATAAAGGCCCTGAACTGGAGGTGCTGTAAACTCCTGGACCTGATGTAATTGATACATTTCAGGACAACAGACATGACATGTTCATATTTGTAGCATTTGCTGCACAGTGCCTGTTGGTGTATAATGCAATGCAGAACAATCTGCATTTTCCTCCTCTAACTGTCTTTGTACCAGCGCTACCAGTCTCCATCGGTTGTAATGCCCACCGGTCTGTTCCACGGTAAACCAGCGCGCTCAATCGCGTCGCACAGCTTCTGAAAAATATCCTTGGCTGTGGTGTGACTGTGCATTGGACACAAACTCAGCAATTCTTCTGTCACTTCGAATTGGTCATTGATGAAAATGGCTAGCTGAGCATTGTCAGGAAACAGGAAACAGGAAAATCCCAACATCTACGCTACTTGACCAGGTGATAGCCGCTTTTAACGCTATTCTTTTACCGATCGTTGGATTGGTTTTATCCTTCTGTATTTTAAGTTTACAGCATTGATTGGACGACTCTCCGCTGAAGGAGGCTGTAATCAGACGCTCAGGAGGATCCCCCCGGGCTTCCCCTACTCTTCGCCCCTGCTCGTCGGTGCGGACGGAGGTAACTCAACGGTTGGAGGCGAGGCTTAGTGAGATAGAAGCACGGCTCCGCACCATGGAAGCTCAGTCGTTAGCTGCTGTAGTTAGCCAGCCCCCCCCCCCCCGTAGCCGGTGCGGGCCAACCAGATGTAGCTCCTGCTAGCCGTCCCACGGCAGCCCCCGAGCAGGTGACTGTCCGAAGGAAGCATAAGTCTAAGGCGAGGCACACGGCTCACCATCAGCCACTTCACGTTTCAAACCAGTTTTCCCCACTCAGCGATACACCCACTGAGAAACCAACTCTGGTTTTATTAAAACCAGAGTTGGTTTCTGATTTCTGCACGTAATGCTGACGTAGCTATAGGTCGGCTAGCAGGCTCTGACACATCAAAGAATACGCCCAACATGTCAAACTAAAGATCTGATTGGTTGAACACTATGACAATCAACAATATCGTCCCCATTCACTTAAACTGCACATGGATTCACTTGTGAGTCTGCAGGCCTCTGCATCTGTTCTTACCTAGAGACACAGAGGTGAGATCTGATTGGATGAAAGCTCTACTTAAAACAAGCTGCACTGGAAGCAGAGCAACTGAGGAAGACAGTAGCTGTGCAATGAGGACATAAGATAATGGGGAAAATATTTTTATAAATTATAATACATGTAGTGTATTAAGAAAAACTATTAAATTATAAAATAGATATAGTTTTGTGATTCTGTTTAGACCAGCAGAGAAGGCTTTGCAGGCCCTGACGGCCCACCACTGGGTTTTAGGCAGCTCTATTCTGAGAAACGTGAAGTTAGCGAAACCAGACGCCGTAGTTACATGTATAGCCGGGGCCAGAGCGGGCGACATTGAGTCCTATCTAAAACTGCTGACTAAGGATAACCAGAAATACAGTAAGATTGTTATTCACGTCGGCGGTAATGATTCCCAACTACAGCTCTCGGGGATCACTAAAGTTTATGTGGAATCGGTGTGTACATACGCAAAAACCATGTCGGACTCCGTAGTTTTCTCTGGCCCCCTCCCGAATCTGACCAATGATGAAATGTTTAGCCGCATGTCATCGTTCCACCGCTGGCTGTCGTGGTGGTGTCCAGCAAACAATGTGGGCTTCGTAGACAGCTGGGAGACTTTCAGAATCAGAATCAGAAACAGTTTATTATATTTAACTCAATATCATGTTTCAGTATAAACGAGGACTCCTGTGCTAACTTTAGTCCGTCCCAGGTTGATGATCTTGTCGATAGTGCTTCAGGCTCACTGGGAATGACACTAGACTCTATTGCTCCTCTCAAAAAGAAGATGGTAAAACAAAGGAGGTTCACTCCATGCTATAACCCTCAAACCCGCAAATTAAAGCAAACATCATGAAAACTTGAAAGAACATGGCGTTCCACCAATTTGGAAGAATCTCGGTTAGTCTGGCGAGACAGTCTGAAGACATATAAGAAGGTCCTCCGTAATGCCAGAGCAGCTTACTACTCATCATTAATAGAGAAACATAAGAACACGCCCAGGTTTCTCTCCAGCACTGTAGCCAGGCTGACAGAGTCACAGCTCTGTTGAGCCGAGTATTCCTATAGACCTCAGTAGTAATGACTTCATGAACTTCTTTAATAATGAGATTATAACTATTAGAGACAAAATTAATAATCTCCTGCCCTCAACCAGTACTGATCTATCCTCAAATAGAGTAACCTTGGAAACAGCTGTAAACCCTGATATATATCTAGATGGCTTTACTCCCATTGACCTTCATCAATTGACTTCAACAATGTCTACGTCTAAACCTTCTATCTGTCTCTTAGACCTTATACCGACTAGGCTGTTTAAAGAAGTGCTACCATTAATTAGCACGCCTTTACTAGATATGATCAACCTGTCTTTACTAACAGGCCATGCACCAGAGTCCTTAGGTGTAATTAAACCTCTTCTTAAGAAGCCCACTCTCGATCCAGAAGTGTTGGCTAATAGACCGATCTCTAACCTTCCCTTCCTCTCTAAGTTCCTTGAGAAAGCAGTCGCAATTCAGTTGTGTGACTTTCTACGTAACAATAGTTTATTTGAGGACCTTCAGTCAAGATTTAGAAAGCATCATAGCACAGAGACAGCTCTGGTAAAAATAACTAATGACCTTCTAATTGCATTACAAAGGACTGGTCTCTGTTCTTGTCCTGTTAGACCTTAGTGCTGCGTTCGACACTATAGACCACTACAGTGTCGCAGAGACTGTTGCAGAGACTAGAACATTATATTGGCACTAAACTGGTTTAAGTCCTATTTATCAGATCGATCTCAGTTTGTATAAATGATGAAACCTCGATAAAGACCAACGTTAGTCATGGAGTTCCACAAGGTTCTGTGCTTGGACCATTTTATTCACCTTATGCTTCCTTTGGGCAATATTATCAGAAAACACTCCATAAACTTTCATTGTTATGCAGATGATACTCAATTATATATATCGATCAAACCGGATGAAACCAATCAGCTGACTAAACTTCAAACATGTCTTAAGGACATAAAAACCTGGACGACCTGCAACTTCCTGATGTTAAACTCAGACAAAACTGAAGTTATTCTACTCGGCCCACAACACCTCAGAAATCAGTTATCTAATAATATAGTTTCTCCGGATGGCATTGCTCTGGCATCCAGCAGCATCGTAAAGAATCTCAGAGTTATCTTTGATCAGGATTCATCCTTTAACTCCCAGATAAAACTAATTTCAAGGAATACCTTTTTTTCACCTACGTAATATTTCAAAAATCAGGCACATCCTCTTTCAAAGCGATGCAGAAAAATTAGTTCATGCATTTGTTACCTCTAGACTAGATTACTGCAATTCCTTATTATCAGGCTGCTCTAATAAGTCTCTTAAATCTCTCCAGTTGATTCAGAATGACATGTTGGGCGTATTCTTTGACGTGTCAGAGCCTGCTACCTGGCCTACAAGTACGTGATTGGTCAGTGGGCTAGCGTGACATGTTGGGCGGTGACAATCCCAATATCTGCTGCCTCTGTGGAGCGGAGATTTTCAGCCTCAAACGCATTAAAACGTATTCAAGAAATACAACTGGGGAGGCTCGACTGTCTTCACTGGCGTCCACGAATCGAGAAGGACTTATTACTGGAACTAAAACGCACGGATGTACTGAACAAACGTAGATGGATTTTTGTTTGGTTTTATATGTGATAGGAACTATTGTTACGTCCAATGTTGCTCTGGGGACATATTTAGCTGGTGCCAGTGTTGGCAACTTGCTGCTAAATCTGGTCGACTTTCCAAACCACCATGGCGACTTTTTTTGTAAAAAGCTACTAGTGACAAATCTAGTGACTTTTTCTGGTGTTATTGGAGACTTTTCTGGTGTTTTGACTCTGACGTTAAAGCACGTACGTTCTGCACTGTCATGAACGAGCAGCGGGTGCTGCTGTGAGCCCCTCCGCCGCCCCAAAGCTCTCACAGGCGGTTACACTCACAGAAGCCTCGCGCAGCAGTCAGAGCAGAGAGGAGAGGAGACGTACTCTTGGCGTATTCTCTGCAGTTAGTGTATTTATAGGTATTGTGCTTCATTTTCACACGAAACTAATAATAACCGTAGCTGTGTTTCAGCTGCAGGACAGCAGTGAAGGCCCAGGTATAAAATGCACGGCCCGCTACTACTACTACTACTACTACTGCTACTACAGCTATTGGTACGACTACTACTAGTACTACTACTACTGCTACTTCAAATACTGCTATTACTATTACTGCTACTTCTTCTACTAATACTACTGTTATTTTAACTACTACGACCACTACTACAGCTATTACTATGACTACTGATACTACTTCTTCTTCTAATGCTACTAATACTTTTACTACTAATAATACTTATAGTACAACTACCACTTCTACTACTAAAGCCTGGTGCACTTCCTGGGGGCATAGGCAATGGCCAGTATATCTGGGGTTCCATTGAAGCGGATATCTGGAAAATGGGTCAAAGATACCCGGACCAAGACCATAACAGATGGGTTCCGAGAATGCATTTTGGCCAATCCTTTCCACCTCTTTTGCTCTCACATAGACCGTTTACCAGAATGCAAATAAGCCCATTCAAACACGATTGGTCAATACTATTGCCTACAGATTCTGTATTCATATTCAGAATCTGTTCATAGAGATTAGTGGCACCCTAAAGTAACAATGACGATCACCACCACATTATAGAGTAATGTGTTCTTGTGGATTTTTTCCCACTAAATGTGAACGTTCAATCAACGTCTTCAAAACGTTCTCTTTTGAACGTCTTTTCACTGGTGACCATAGTCGTTTATTAAGCGTCCTTTCAATGGAAAATAGGAAGGGTTAGACAAGAGTTTGAAGGTTAAAAAAAACAGGTTTAGCAGTATATAGATAGATGGATGTGTGTGTGTGTGTGTGTCCACACAAAATGTGTGCATTTTGGTGCACTTCCTTAAAGCACTTCTGCATTGGCTTCAGCTTTCGGCCCTGGTGGTTTGTGTATTTATGGCGTACGTTAGCTGTAAAAAGACCACGAATTCAAATAAATCTTATATTTTATTGAATCCCATACATTTCATTCATTCAGCATGGTGAAAGCATATAATAATAATAATAATACAAGATGAGGTAAACAGAGTTACAACAGAATAAATACATTTTCAAAGAATGCGCTCAATTTACAAAAACTCACAAGCCTGGTTTAAAAAAAAAAAAAAAAAAAAGGAAAGAGTGCATGCATGTACTACATATGTTGGATGTGAGAGAGCACATTATCTTTTGTGGAAACATATCGGTGCTCCAGTTCTGCCACAAACAGACGTAGCTACATCAGGACAGGCTACTAGCTGTAGCACATGCAGCACGAAGACAGAAGACACCGAGTTATTGACGGACAGAACAGCGTAAATTCAAAAAACAATTAAAGGCAAACCAAAAATCACACGAACAAGCACACGATTAAAAGGAGTTGCAGTCTTGCATGCTGTTACGTGTTCTCTGGACATTTTGTTGTGAAGAGCACATTCTCATCTTTTTAAGGCAGTTATGACGGACAGGAGTGTTTATGTGTATGTGCTGCACAGGTGTTCATATTGTTCAAAGGGACGTCTTCAGTGCCGGGGAAAGTCTAATCAAGACAAGTGAATGACATGAATTAATCAAGCAAAGATCCATCCTACTCTCCTTAAAATGTTATCATTGCTTTGAATAACACGAGTTACATTCTTTCATTAGCAGTTAAGGCAAATCTGCTTCCCAAGATTTGAGGATGATTGAACGATAAAGCATCGATGAAAAACTTGATTTGCTGTTTTATAACTTAGGAAGCTAACGTTTGTCATATTTCATGGATAAGAAAGATGCAACACATAAGAAATGCAATGATGTTCATGTAGTATTGGAAGACAATGGAAGGGGAACTTGCAGCAAAACTGGGAAGCAGCCACATCTTTCATTTTTATTAATATATATCAGCACAACATAATGGTGTTTGTCATGATGTGGCACACTGATCCGGTGTCTGTTAGCCCATGTTTGTTTTCACTTCTTCCTCCTTAATGAGGGCGAGCTGTCATGCAGAGATACACTGGACTGACCTGACTTAATTGAAGGGCAAGGCTTCATCACGTGGTTATTGCATGCTTGTGTTATCCATACGGCTGTCTTCTAAAGACTCTAAAAACAAATCAGATTGATGGAAATACCTCTGCAGACAATGTGGAAGGTCTACCTGAACCATGGGGATGCACAACAATAAATAAGTAATAAATAGGAAAAGAAAACGTCCTAATAATCCACCAACCATATCTAAAAGTAATATTAACCATTCATGGGGATTTTCCTGCACTCATTGTAACAATGTCTCCATCATCACTTCTGTCTGTGTCATGTGAATATAGGTCAGTGGGGTTTGAGGAGCTGAGTGTGTTTAACGTAACACTTGTATTAATGCTTACTGCGGAGGAATGCTATGGGAAGTTACAGGTTAGAGGAAGAGTGTGAAATGTAATGAAGCGAATGAAAGATCCTCATGGCTTCAGTAGTCATCAATGGACGCGTGTTCTTTAGCTGAGAAGCTCCAGGTATGTGACGGGCACTTTTCCTTTTTGGTTTCCTCTCTCTCCAATCAGCCAGTCAGAGTCCATTCCTGGCACTGTGTAAACTGTGATGAGCTGCAACACAGAGTACGTGGACATTTTTAAGTCAAACATTCAAATCGGAGTCTCTATTTGCACACGGGTGAGAATAGTCACATGGCTACTATGCGGATAATTAAACCCGGCCCCCCTCATCCCCTGCCTCCTGGTGTTATAAAGAGCCAACAGAGTGCATGCAGACTTTGTGGTGGATGAAGAGGACAAACAGAAGACTTCACTCAGCAGACTGGGGTTTGTGTCCTGTGAGAAGCCTATTTTTACACTTAGCTGACCTATTATCTCCACCAGGATAATCATGCGATTGCTCGCATGTGTGCGCGTGAGTGAGTGACTTGTGTCTGTCCAAAGCTCATCTCACATTCTGCTGCAGCAAACTGCATTATTTTCTGGGTGGCCAGTTATGGCTGCAGGCTCCAGGACCTCTCGTGTTTGCGGTGGATCACACTTTCTCAAAAACACCTTTTATTGACAACATATGTCATGTATATAGAAGTATGTATGTAACTATTACTTGGCAAATGACAGACTGAACCGAGCACTGACTACAGCAGAGCCAGTGTCTTCTCATGTTGGTAGGAGGAGAGCTAGTGAGCTGTCAGCAGACGGTGGACAGCCTGCGGTCCTGCGGTGTGTTTGGCTAACAGAGCTAATGCGGTTAATACAGTCATACGTGTTCAAACAGTCAACATGAAGCTGCAGTGTAGCTGCTAGGAGTCGGAGCAGGCAGCTGCATTGATTCAAATGAGAGCGGACCTGTTGGGTGAGATGTGCGAGTGAAAGAACGCGTCGGATACGTTTGCAGTCTAGACGGCGGACAATTGTGGTTTCTATCATACAATCAAATATTACAGCAGTGGTTGTGGCAGACACACCTTGAGGAGATCTGCACTCTACTGAGCACACCTTTCTACTGAGCACACCTTTCTACTGAGCACACCTTTCTACTGAGCACACCTTTCTACTGAGCACACCTTTCTACTGAGCACACCTTTCTAAGTATCTCCAGTTTGCCATCACAGTTTGGTTAGGTTTAGGCAACACAACTGTGTGCTAATAGCATTGCTGTAGTCCTAATAACGGGGGTAAAGGAGGCTTTAGAACATTAAACAATTAAAAAACAATTAGGACAAGAATTTGACATAACAATGGCCTGGAAAAGGTCATGATTCTTAAAATCAGGGTCCCTGGGTCATCAGGGACCCTGCTGACTTAATCCGGGGTTTATAACAGAGGAGCCACATCAAGTGAAGACCGACACTATCATAAGAAAAGCTGTATACAATTAGAAAATAAAACATTAACCTTCAAGGGAAAGGCCCGACACATTACCGGTACTTAAATCAGCAAATACCACAGCGAGGCTCGTCTTTAGACTTCGACCTCAAGCTATTTCTGGTCAACGGCCACGAGCCATTATTCAACCCACCAGCAGCAGGTCGATGATGAAACCTTACCTCATCGGCTAAAAGTGAGAGCTCACTGGAGTCCGCAGCATCGTAATCGTAAAGGACTTTGGCCTTGCGGGTTCCTGTAGCTGGTGCCTGAACTTCCTCAATCTTCAGTGTGTCTGTCTCCACAGGGCTGCTGAGGCCTTCTGATGCAGAGCCGGCGGTAGCTGTGGAGTGAGTGTTCAGTGCAAATGCATTGGGAAGCCTGAGGGAAAGCAGGCAGATGATGATCAGAGCATGCATATATAAATACAAACATACACAAAAACAGTATCAGCACACAACTGGAAACCAAACGTACCATGAGTTATACATGACAAATCATGATTTGTCATGTATTAGTCAAACGGTTCAAAGACAAAGCTCTTTATAACTGTTCCATGTTTAATGCATTCACAAGAAACGTTCAAGTCCGGCCAGAAGACTACAGTCGAACACAATTAGGCCCTTATCTAAACTGTGAGGCCACCTGCTATTCTGCTTTATGGCTGTACAGCAGCACAAACAATGTGGATCAGAGGGTGTGGTGATTAATAAACACACTCAGCCAATCACATCACTGGTCTTATAGCTCCAACACAACGAAGCCAAAGTGAATTATGAAAACAACAAGTCCAGAAATGGAAAGACGGGGACACACAGGAGCAAACATGTTGCCTTTTTGTTTTTACAGTTAATTAGCAAAATGCAGATGGAAATAAGTTCTACAAATGTGTCCGGTTAAGCTGCTGATTTAATTCCTCGCTCAATTCAAGTAATAAAGAAATCTCATGATGTAAATTGTCGCATCATATTGTAAAATGTTATGACAGTGTTTGCACTCTGATGCATTTCAAGAATAAAACACTAGAAAAAAAATGCAAAAAAGTTGGAAAGAAGGCGATGAGGCACAGGATCCATGAGCGTGAGTAACGGCTCTGCTCTGAAACACTTCATCAAAACGGCAGATTTGTCAACTATGAAAAACTTCAGTTCATAAATAGTTTGTCTACATTTTAAAGGGCCAGTGTGCAACATTTAGGTGGATCGAGAGGTAGAGATGGATTACAATATTAACAACTATTAAAATAAAATGCGTTGCATGTTTGTTTCCTTAGACGAGTCGTTTATATTTACATACGGAGCAGATGTTTTGCATCACCATGTTTCTACAGTAACCAAGAACGTAGTGGAGTGATGTTGCACCACAAGCAGATGTGGCTATGAGACATCAACAACTCTGTATGCACTGGCTCGTCTGAATGAACCTCCCTGGTAAACAACACAGGTGGCCAAAGTGGATTTCACGGTCTGGAAAATACCAATTTACAGCATTTACTAATTTAAAGAGAATGGATTTAGGACGCCGGTGTGTGGGTCAGAAGACGCACACAGAGAGAACGATCACTGGCATCAGCACACAGAAAGACGAGCCATACTCTCACGTCCTCATCAGGACTGAGGGCGTGAGAGTATGACAGTGATTCATCATGACTTGACCAAAAATAACAAAACCAGCCGGGCATCCATAAGACCCGATTAGAACTGAGGACATCTTGTATCTAAAACAATCATTTATCAAATACAAGTATTTCTGGAGCATTAAACAAAGAATAACTTAATTAATATTCATTATGGAATATATTATGCATCTACATGCCTTTTCACAATACGCAATGTGAGGATTTAGATGCAAGTTGATTATCAAGAATTAACGGATCATTTAGAAATACTAAATTACAAAATGCATATTGTTCCTTGATGAATCTTATTCAATATAGCGCGAGTACATGATATACACTCAAGTCATTTATCTGATTCAGAAAAACTACCATCATTAAATATTTCAATCATTTCAATGGTATTCCTGCTCTGCCTGCTGCTACAAAATTCAAAAGATTATAAAAAGATATATAATAAGATCATATGGTAATATGCAGTGAGTGCCACTTTCAAACTTCACTAGAGCACGTGAGTCAGATGGGCTTAAACACAGTGCATGTGAAACTTCTATTATTCTCGTATCAGCAAGAAAGGATGCAGCCTACAGCTGCAGACAGCAAGATATCTAAATCGTAAATATCAATATAACCAGCAGCCACAGTGAGCTACAGATGAAGAGCAGCAGGCAACAGATGCCCAGTGCATTCTGGGTGAACTCAAACACCTTCCACCGTGGCATGTCAGTGGAACAGAAAAGCACTCCAGCTGTACCTGCACCGTGGCTCTGATTTGGGTCGTTCACAGTCCACCCATGAAGGGTTAATACTGTTAGATGTGGATGTGGATTACGTTATCTCAACACAGAAATTCTGTCGCTGAAAATAACTGCAACCACTGTCCCAGGAATGTGCACCTTGGTTAATAATCAGCATTAACGATTGATCACATCGTTAATGCTGATCATTCACATGTTTCGGGCTGGCATACAGCTTGTTCACTTACAGACCTGCAACACTGTTATTTAGTCATTTGATATCTTTACACAGCAGAAGTTGGCTTACTTCCACTGCGTACTGTTTGAACTACAGGATGGCTACCCCTTTAAGACGCAGTGAAACTTAACCACTTCATCTCTCATCCTCTCACCTTCCCAGCTCCTTCTGTAGTTCTTGCATGTGGAAGTGACTCTGCTTATAGTAAGCTGCTTGGGCCTCCACAAACTCATGCAGGCAGCGCAAGTGGTTCACCTGTAGATAAGCAACAACACAATAGTCATTGTTAAAGAAACATCTTGAGCTCATCTCCGTGAAGAAGTACTCCGATCCTTTACTCCCAGGGGACATGTGATGAAGCACTCACGTGTATCTGTGTATCTGTGGCTACAACTTATTCAGTGTATTGTGGGCTGCCTGGATCAGAAAACATGTGATCCAACAATGCATTCATACGTGGCTCTCCTTCCTATGGTACATGCAGCCTCATTAGAATATACCGCCCACAGCCTGAGAACAATCAGCTGACACGGAGCGTCTCAGACAGACGGTGAATACAGGTATAGTCAGACGTATGAGGAAATAGTTTAAAAGTGTTTTGAACATCAAAACATGTAAACATAATCTGGTAGTAGTATGAACCTGAAGCAGAGTGCGATATGTCCCCTTTAAACAGAGGTAGTACCACAATGAGAAACATGCACCTCAAGCGAAAGGTATGGTATTCTCTACATACTCTATTATTTATACTGATGCATTCATATGTCGGCAGCCAGTGTTTGGTCACGGTGGAGCCGATTTGAACTATTCTATATACTGTGTGTATACTGTATTCCATTACGTCCTCACCTGATTGTCTTAAGACAAGGGAAACATGTCAGTGCAGTAAGAATACTGTATTGAATCAGTTTCTATCTTCTAATCAGCTTGTTTAAAAAATTAGAGTCTGTGCCTCTGTAAATGTGGTTCGGCATCACTTCGACTTATTTGGCATTTAATCAAATTCAAAAGAATAACCTTTCTGAAGAGTCCAGGATTATGGTTTGAATCAAAATTGTTCAGTAATCATTTTATTTGAGGTGTGTTCTTGTTAAGGGACGCCACTTTTTATATCGTCACTAGTCAATCTAAAAACACGGCGATGTTTCCTGCACTACACCATAAAATAGCTCTACAGAACAGTGTTTTTGTTATTTAAAATAAATAAATGTTCATTCAACTGATAGAATTCAAACTACTCAATTTGCGTTACTTACTGTCTCAACTTAATATATGTGAGAGAGAGAGAGAGAGAGAGAGAGAGAGAGAGAGAGAGAGAGAGAG